GGTGAGACCTCACCTGGAGTACCCTGTCCAGTTCTGGAATCGGCAGCACAAGAAGGATGTAGACATATTGGAGTGAGTCCAGAGGAGAGCCACCAAAATGATCAAGGGATTGGAGCACCTCTCATATGAAGACAGGCTGAGGGAGCTGGGGCTGTTCAGTCTGGAGAAGAGAAGTCTCTGGGGGGAACTTATAAGTGAACTTCCAGTACCTGAAAGGGGCCTACATGAAGGCGGGGGAAGGTCTGTTCAAAAGGGTTTGAATGATAGGACCATGTGATAGGAAAAGGAGTAGTGGATTTAAACTAGAAAAGGATAGATTTAGACTTGATATTAGAAAATGATTCTTTAGTATAAGAATAATAGAACATTGGAATGGACTGCCCGGAGAGGTAGTGGAGTCATTCAAGGTCAATCTTGACAGGGCCTTGGGTCACCTGACCTAGGTAGAGGTCTCCCTTCTTGTGTAGGGAGGTTGGACCAGATGACCTCTAGAGGTCCCTTCCAGCCTAAAACATTCTATGATTATAAGTATAGAAACATGCCGTAAGAGCTCTATATTCATATGTATATAATGGTCTTTTTGGTGCACAATGTCAATGTCACCCAGTTCTTTGCAAAACATGTCAGCCTTTCTCCAGATCAAGCCAAGAACTGTCAGACTGCCATAGAAGACTCCCATAATGGCTTCCATTCCTCCAGCCTTGGGCTTATATATATATACACATACAAGCTATTCTGCCCTACATTACATTAATTAATGTAATTGCAGCTTCAAAGACTCACCTCTACCTTACAATTCATCCACCTAAATGCAGCTAGCTCAAATATATATCCTATGGGAATCAGATAATTTGAACCTCCAACTATTCACAGTTATTTCTGTTGAGAGAACTCATTGTAAGCTGTACTGTCACCTGCTCTTGCATCAGGTTGAATCTAAACATTTGTACGCATAATCCTGCATATTTTATTTAAAAAAGCAAACACACAGGATTACAGTATTACAGCTACTTCTCCAATCTAACTCCATGGAAATTTTGGGAATATATATAAGAAAATAAAACAAAACCTTGCAGGATTTCAGTTGATCAAAACTGCTGCTCTGTGTCTCCTGCTACAATTTGGATGCATCATGCTCCCATCATCTTACATAGGCCAAAAAAGAAAGGGAGTTGGGAAACAGTACAACCAAATTACATCTCATGTGAAACATCACAACAGCAATACATTTCAGTGTTGCTCGAAAACCGCAGTCTCTATGGATCATTTATTTTGTCTTTTCACCAGTCCTTTTCGATGTACTGCTTGTTGCATTAAACGCTGAAAATATGTTGAAAAACAGTAATTTAATTTCATGTATCATATAATTTAATGTATTTCATGTATCAGGTCAATGCAAAACTGTAGCAGAAAAGCTGAGAGGAATTACTAAGTACATATAGCACTGCTATCAGCTAATATATAACAATTAAATAACAGTCAACAAAAGATTTGACAGGCAATTTATCATATATAGTTCTTTTTGCTGAATACACTTGAAATATAATAGAGACTTTGAAAAATCAAGTGGCACTGTATCTTTTTTACTATTCTTGAATGAGGATTTTTTGTTTTTATTGTGATTTTGTAATCATATACAGTGATTTTAATGAAGTTCACAGTGAAAGTAATATATTGAGCTGATTCTTTTATAGTGATAAAAATTACTCTCAGGTTGAGTAAGTGCAACATAACATCATTTTAAACTAGTAATAATATAGCAAGGTCTCTGACTGAGTGGTTTTAAAGTCCTTTTTGTTTTTTCTTCTGTGGACTATTGTCACAGAAAGTAAACATGCCTGTCACTAGAACTAGGAAAGTAGTTTTCTGTTCAGAGGAATGATGCTGTGCAGAAAATTCTTTCTTAGATGAATTATAGTTGTTTGAACTTAATACATTTGCTAGTCCCCTGTAGGGATTTTGTTTCAATAAATTTTAACTGTTACTTTTAACTGGAATACAAATTACATTAATGCTTTTTTAAATCACAATTAATCCTAATTTCTTTCTTAAAAAACAAACAAACCAAAACCTAAAACAAATCAAAGAAGTAACCACAAATCTCCGTCAAAAAAAAGCTAATTTTTGCTCCTTGACACACATTAAAGGAATGTCTTTAGGAAGAGTTAGTAATTATCTTAAACAATCTAACTAGAATCTAAAATTTAGAAATCTTCACTGAGAGAACAGAAATACTTTCATTTTACTATGAAGTGATATAATTTATCAGAAAAATGGAAAAATATCAGCTAAACTGAATTTAACTCTAACTACAGTCGTTTTGAACTGCATTAGTTAATTATTAAATGACAGTAGGATTCACAAGACCCATTGTTGGGGTAACTTGCACTGCACACCCTTGGGCAAAACTGCCAGGATACAATAGCTAGTAAGGTAGAAAAGCGAGCATGCACTGTGTGAATAAAGACAGTCTGAGAAGGTGTTCACCCAAAACCAGTCAAAATGATGACCACCATCAACTAAACTAAACAGTAGCCAGTGAACTGCAAAGACAACTTTCAAACACAGGAGAAGTCAGCTTGAAAAGTATAAAAGTGAAAGAAAAACCTGTAATAGTGGGAAGAGATTATGGACTGGAAACAGCAGCAGTCAACCTAGTTTTGGCATACCAGAGATCATCTTGATGGTGCCACAGCCACTGCATAGACCAGGCAGAGCATCAGCCTCACTCGATACTGCAAATAGCCTGCATCCAGCTGATTGGCTGATAGTTTGGGGTTCTGCTAGGAGGGTTGATTTCTCATGGCATATTTACTAACAGTCTGTAGGCAGAAGCATGTGTACACATAAAGCTGGAGCAGCCATGTATCCAAGCTTGCTTTCCCGTATGGGAAAACATGTTTGTATCTCATATGTCCTCTGAGAAAGGGAGCAAAAACATTTCTCTGGATGAGGAGGTACTGATACTTTTGGGAATTACTTACAGCAGGGTGTTTAGAAATTTGTAGCTATTTATTAATATTTTGCGTTTTGATTTATCTGTGGTATTGATACTATTGGTCCTGCATATCTACACTGATTGTCAGTTAATTATATGCCATTAATAAATCAGTAAATTGCTTCAATACTAGAAGTTTTTCCTCTTGACAATCTACACATGGCTAAAATCACACAGTCACAGAAAGATTCAAGTACCTGAAAAATTGTACTCACGTAGTATGATCAATTAATGGGCAGTATTTTTCTTGCCCAAGGTAGAGATTTGTCCCTCTACCAAGTTCCCACTTGAATATGTTTGCTCTATGGATAGAACCAGTTACTGACATCTGTTCCAAGGCTTGTTGATACCATCCACATTGGTTTCTATCTTCAAAGTCACAGACTTCCATAACTTCAGAGGTGAGCAGTGAACATGTTTATATAAAAAATGGAAATCATTAACTGATATTATGATAAAGCAAACAACATAGCAATAAAAAGGATTCAATTTCTAGTATCCATGAATACTTACACAGTACTAACATGCATATTTTTTTCCTCCATAGATAAAATATTCATTCTATTTTCTGTCTTCTTTTCTATTAGGTAGAGACCAATATGCACCAATTTTTTTCCATCTCAGTGTCTAATTTCATGTGTGTTCTGACCAGCTTTCAGGCCATTTTAATAATTTGTCATGTGATATACACCGAAATGTGTGTGAAATTCACCAGCTATGAATCTGCCAGCTGCTGCCTGGTTCTTCCTTCAGTCCTGTAGACTGATGACATTAGCAACTCATTGCAAATTGTGTACAAAGTCCACAACCAAAATTCTAAAAAAAACCAGATCAACATTTCAAGCGGTTCCTGCAATATCTGAAAGTCACATAATAATGCAGCTATTTGATACTGGCATCAAATACTGAATTTGTATCTTACTAAATAAATATGCAGCTGACAGTGCCCGTATTTTTGAATCCTGAGCAACTGGACAAGAAAAGTGAGCTCATAATCAACCTTCTTTTATAATGCATCTCCACGAGAATATTTAGGGGAAATGAACCTGCTTATTTTTAATTTCTGCCATGAATATTTACTCACCAGTACATCTTCCTGAATATTTTACAGAAACTTTGTCTAGGTTATCCAAGGTGAGACTTGTCACTCGTCAGAACTTAGAAACAGATTATTATACTCAAGTCTAAGTGACTTTTGTGAGAATTATGAAGGGCAATGAGAATTTATTTTAACCCAGGGAGCTCAAATGCCAGTATAGCTGACGTAACTTCTGCATCAAGAAATCACAGTGCGTTAGGAGAACATGCTTGATGTTTCTTCCCTTGGAGGCTAAAAATGATAGACTAAGAGGGATTGAGTTTTGATGTATAGCTTGTATATGTCCAGTAAGGAAGTAAACCACAGCCAGTGGGATCTCATGAGTTACCCATAAGAAAAATTTATGATGTTTCCCGAGAATGTTGAGCGGCATAGTATTAAATGTTTATTCCCCTTTTTAAATACGTTTAATAAACACTAGGTTTCAAGTGCCTCTGAGAAATATAACACCTTCCTGAGAACATATTTCTACCCTCAGTCAGGACCTACTTAACTTCTATTTCAGCATTGTCATTCGAGCAATAAATTGCCATCATTGCTGTAGTGGGAGACTTCAGACAGAATAAATAAAGACGTGTTCTCCATAGAATTTCTCTCTCTCAGAAAGAAGGGATGTTTTGTAAGATAATGTCAATTTCTGAGGGGGGAAAAAAAATGCAATTCAAAGGACTCTGTGTTTATTTTTCAGGGCAAAATTTCAACAGGTGTATTTTCACACTATAGGAAATTACCCAGCCATATTTATGTATCTGATTCATCCCTTTCAGAGTTATTCCCACATAATAGACAGAGAGAGTCTAATGTTATTCTCCTCATTGAGCCCACAGTTCTGAAAGAGGTGACCGAACTCCCTACGCAACGTGTAACAAATGTAGAGCTGTGATCTTCAGTGAGAAAAGTTTACCTTGCAAAGACTGATAAGGTCACTGTCTCTAGAAGTCTGTCCTTCTCATTAACCATTCAGTATAGCAGTATTTTCAAGTACTATACTTTAAGACAAAACAAAGTCATTGAATTTCTTCTAAAATATTATAGCGTGAACTGCTGTGACTCAGAAGCAACCAACAAAAGGCTTAGAGAGCTCTATGGACAACATGTAGTGACCCTGTCCATTGTCCCAGCTCCAGAGTTCCCATCTGACCTCTAGGAATTTACAGGCTGGAACTCAGCTCTGTGTGATGCAGGCTGAATTTCACAATCATTGCTGCTGGTGAAAATACTTTGTATAAAAAAACTACCCAAGCCAATATTCATTCAACCCAGAAGAAGTGGACGCAGGTCTTCCAGATGCGCACCCCAAACATGAAACTGTAAAGTTATTCTCTCTTCCAGTCTTGACTAGCGAACATTTGCAAAAATTAGACATATCGTAGGTCATTTAATTTAAGAAACTATGTTCACTTTTAAAAATTGTCATGCATAGCTACCAATGATTGTGAAACTGAGGAATCCTTCCCTTCTCCATCTCCCATTTCAGTAGGAAGTTGAATTGGAATGTCAAGTCTGAATAAGCCCATTAAAAGGCAGAAAATGCATAACATCTCAGAATCCCATATTAGAACAAAATAATATTTTTTCTGAAGAAAATCACATTAAAATATCATCTAGGTGTTAATACCAAATTGCAAAGGTAAATGCAGAGTAGTTAAAGCAGTGTGTTTAACAGCCACAAACTAATAGGATAGCAAAGTACAAAATTTAGTACACTTACCACAAGTTGATTCATCAGACTTGTCATAGCAATCAGGTCTAAAATCACACTTCTGGATCATCTGGATGCAGTGGCCAGAGGCCCTACAGACAAACTCTTTCTCTGTGCAGTTGTTCATGGGGAGTGTGGCAGGGACTGTAGTTCCTGAAGAAGTTGTAGAGATTGTTGGCAAATTTCCTTTGAAAAAGAAACCAACAAAATATTGAACAATGGGACCAAGGCATTCTAGTTTTATAAGGATTTCTCCCCTTGCCATTCCCACCCTTTGTCAAGGGTATAGCTTTACTAGAAACATGACTGGGTGGCCAAGTTGAATGACTTAAATGCTGCCCAGCAGAAACTGAATTGAACATTTTCTCAGTGTAAAGCACTAGTTCTTGGTCATGCTAGCCAACCAGCATTCATACAATCCTTGACACTTCTAGGAATTTATTTACATCTCTTGTCTCTCAAATTTGGATTAAGTCAGTGTATCCTTTTGAAAAAATAATGCTATGCAGATTGGCAGAACAATCACAAAAAACTTAATTTCCCTGTGAACCAAGGCTAACAGATTATTCTGATGACAATGCATTGGTGGTTTGGTTTTTTTTGAAAAAAAGGTTGATTACTACAAGTGACTATGGAAAAGACAATCTAACCTTCTTACTTTGTAATTTCATCACTGAAAAAAGTACTTTTTCTCATTAGGAAAAATATTCTGAAGTCATCATGTTTTTCCACCATTTCCTTTATGTTTCATTCAAACTCATCACCACTTCTTTCAAATCAATTTTCTCTACCTTTCCACTTTTTCTTTACTATCTAGCTTTCTTCAGGTTTACTCACATTTCTCAGAAAACCTTGCTATTATTGTCTATAAAATGAATTTTCATTTTTAGCTCCTTCTTTAAAATTAATCATTAATAAAATTATTAGCTGTAGTGTACAGTACATGTAAGAAATACACCTGAGTTAATAAGTACACGTGAAGACTTTATGTAAAATGTATCTGGGACAGACAGGAATTTTTTTTTTCCTCTGAGGTCTAGAGCACTAAGATTGATGATAAATTCTGCATGAGCAAGAGGCATTTCTATTTTGTAAGGTAGAAAGCACATCTATGAATATTACTCTAATAATATCCTAAGACTCAAACAAAACACTTAGGTGAGGGAAACTTTTGAAGGAATAATTGCATGATATAATAAATGCATCTACAACTCATAATAATACCAAGATGTAATTGGTCAGAAACTTTTATATATAAGACTCACAATCAAATCTCTGCTCCTAATCCACCGGAAAAGAGAATAAATTTTGAAGTACCATAACCTTCACAACACCCGAAAAGAAAGGAGAATCTGCTCCTTTCTCTCTTTGGAAAAAAATTCATTTTCTATAATTCATGAAATAGCATTTTGTCCAGAGTAACCATCATTAAATATCCTTTGGTTAGGGCATTCGAATGATGCATCAAAGCAGTATGTTCACATTTTGACATCTTTAATATTACTTATGAGGGACTTTATTACCAAGCTATCAAGCCCATCTCTCTAGTCAGTGTTTGGTTATTTGAAGTGGAAATAGAGCAACTGAGCAGCTAGTGCATGATTCTAGGGTGCAGAGGCATAGGTGCCCTTTTTTCACCTGATCCAGCTTGCATTAAATATGATGGATTATGCCATAGCTATTGACTATTGTGTAGCTTATTCCCCCAATATCTTTGATTCTTTTTTGGTTGGGATTTTTTATGGTGTCAAGGAAATAAATAGAGACAGGACCCTGGAGTTTCTCAAAAATTGCTCTCAGTACTGAAAGTATTTTTAAAATGTATAGAACACAAACTCTTTCCTATTCAGCTTTGTCCACCATTATACTTGAGTATTTTTGGTTTATCTTTCCACATAAGATAAGCTCTTTTTTTTCTTACTTATGAACTTCGAAACTCTGGCCCATTTTGCTTTACAACTTTCTTCTTGTTTATTTTTAAAACTTTTTTTCATATCTTGTTTGAAATCTTGTCACGATTTTCTGATTAGTTCTTCTAAGTTTTTTTTCCGAATATAAGGTGTTGTACATTAACTGAATATTTACAAACAAACTTATATTCCAGGTTTTATAATAAATTTTGTATGCTGTATAAGCTTAGTAAAATGTGAGCTAATTATCTGCAGAAGAAACACGTCACATACACTTGATATTCCTAGTAGACCTAATTATATCTACAAGAAATTTTTGCAGTAGCAGAAAAAAATGCATCTGCACTATGGTATTTTAGAGATAGTGCTGGGATACTAATATTCAGACATTAATCTGCAGTTCTATACCTTATTATACTGTACATTAATTCTCACACCATATGCTTTGCAATGTTTGTTACAGCTAACACCACTCTTAAAATCACTTTTGTGATAAAGTGATAGGTCTGGAATCTGGTGTCTTGAATTGCACTTATTTTGGGATATAATATTTTACAATTCTATAGATGTTGTACTACCCCAGATAGCAATGACTTCTGAAGACAGGCTGCTCTGTAACTGCTTGTGTGCTGTATTGTAGGAGCAACTGACACAGCAAAAAAGTTAAAAATTATTGGCAGGGGTTTGGCTATATAGAACTAAGTTTCTTGAATGAAAGGTCAGTTTGTTTACACACAGTTAAGTTCCTTTTTCCTTCTAGGGATCAAGATCTCAAAGTTTTTAGAAGATGCACACTTCTTAACTGAGGGTCTCTTTTGGACCTTATGAGCACAGGAGAAACTATTTGGTGTTAATTCCTTGATGAGAGGGTTTGGGAAGCAAGGAAATAAATCTGGATTTCCTTGTCAGGTGTGAGTCACAGTTTGATCTAGCATTTGCTTTCCTAGGAGACATATTTACAAATGACAGCAAAGAATCAGCTCACAGCTAGGAGATACACATTTAACTCTGTTCTCACCATTGTAAAGAGTACAGCCTAGAAAAGACATGTCATCAAGTCCAATGTCTCCAGTGAAACCATCTCCTACGGTACCTTTCACCAAGATCTAGGGAAACAAGAATTACAGTAACATATTTAAGTGTGTAGTAGACTTCCACTTCTGATTAAGTATTTCATATCAATTGATAGAATTTACCATATTTTATCACTACATCACCATCATTTACCACATTTCACAGTTAAAACGGAATTAAATTTGTTTTAGTGGATATATTCTATTTAGTGACACTTTATGAAAGATACTAATTATTATCAGCTTTCACTCCTTGTCACATTAATCACAGTGAACCATAACAGAATGGCTGGCTTCACAGTTGTGCAAATCCACTGAAACATCATTGTGATATAAAATGATGGCAAGACGTTATCATAAGTGGCATATTATGATTAGCCTCTTCGGTACTTATTGTAATAACATTAGTCACAGTCAATTATAATAACATTCACGTGAATATATTATATATGCTTACACAAATCCCACTGTGATAAAAACAATTAAGCAGATTAGAGATGTGCAATGGAACCTTTAAAGAAAAGTATCCTACTATTCCATTAGAGTTGCCAATGCTGTGTAACCTTACTTTCTCATTCTTCACTGCTGCCAAGGAATGGGAGAGGTTCCTATTTCACAGAATGGCTTGGGCTGGAAGGGATCTTTAAAGGTTGTCTAATTCAACCCTACAGTAAGCAGGGACATCTTCAAACAGATGAAGGTCACTCAGAGCCCCATCCAACCTGACCCTGAATGTTTCCAGAGATGGAGAATCTACCACTTCTCTGGGCAACCTGTGCCAGTGTTTCACCACCCTCATTATAAACATTTTCTTTCTTATATCTAGGCTGAATCTACTTTCCTCTAGTTTTAAACCATTACCTCTTGTCCTGCCACAACACGCCCTACTAAAAAGACTGTTCCTGTCTTTCTTATAGGTCCTTTTTAAATGCTGAAAAACTGTAACAGTGTCTCCCTTGAAATCTGTGAAATGCTTTCTGGATGACTGAATAAGCCTCTTTTATTCTGACTGCTGCTGAATGGTAAAAATCTAAGCAGAGAAGATTCAGTAAGAATTTTCTTAATTTAACTAATTTATAAATCCCTATTCATAAAAAAAATAAAGCATCCTCAAACCGTACATTTAAAAAAAAAAAAAGAGAAATGAATGGTTTTGCTGATAAAATAGAATTTGAAATGGATTTTTTTTTTTTAGAAACATGACAAATTAATATATCTTGGAAATTAAGATATCTTTGGAAATGCCATGCAGGAAAATATATTCTTCTAAAATGACAAAATTCCTGTCAGTGTATTTTTCAACTGGCAAACATACTAGCATTTAAATGAAACTTTGACTTTGTTTTTAAACATGACTAAATATTCACAAGTAAGTTTTCATAAATAAGCTAAAATTCAGACAAAGAGGCAGGTGGTTTGCTAGCTTAACTTACACAAATATTACTAAGGCAAAGCAAAGCCCTCTCAAAACTATAGTTTTGGTATGGGATTGTGCTGTTCTCTGATGGATGTTAACCAGTAGGTTAAGTGGCAGGACACGGTTTTGCAGGGGTAATTCCATTCAGAACACCTCTTTATCATTATGATGATTGTATTACTTAAAATCTCCATGCCCAAAATAGTATGTTTTAAATTTAATTATGTGCTTATATGGGGAGACTGACACTTTGACATATAGAATGAACACAGTAGGTAATGTAGAAAATATAAGAGAAGTGTAGGTATAGACTTAGAAGTGAAAATAAGACCAATTTATGAGTTACTGCTGCAGTATAGAAATTAGTCTCTCTGCAGCTGTGGTTAAACATTGACCACTGAAATTAATTTGCCAGCTGAAATTCTACAAACTTCATAAGCTATTATTAAACAACCTCCAGGGAACTCATCTACCGTGAAGCTCATTTCACATCTCATTTATTATTTCAATGAGGAAAAATAATTCCTAATTTCTCCATTTTTAGAAATCTGGAGTTCCAGTCTTGATGAAATCTATAAAGGTAGCAAAAGATATGCTACATTAAAATGGAGGAAAAACTATCCATGAAAAGCAAAACGTGTTAGAATGAGGCTCTGTATGCAGAAAAGTAATGATCTCTTAACATTTTGAACAAACCAGTTTTTGAAGAGTAAAGGAATATTATGTTGCTAACAAAGAAATTATAATGGGTAATACTGTTCTGTACAAATGTTCCATTTTTATTTTATTAATTTACGTCACTAGCCAATTTCCACTGAAGGTTAATAAAATAAAATCTTAAATTCCACACAAGCATATTTCAAACTAGAATGGAAGTAATTCAAAAAACTGGGAGATATTCAAAATTCTGAACATTTCTGATTATCTGATTATTACGATGACATCAAAAAAGGCTTATGTCTTCTTTGGTAAGTTAGTGGAAACATAGCAATTTATTCCTTCCTGGGTTTATTTTTCTGCTTCCTCAGCTGCCAGCAAAAGAGCAGTCACTGTGGGACCTGAGACCATTTCCCAAACATCTTCTCTAGGAACCTGGTAGTTGCAATCTGACTACACGGCTCTGAACTTTTCCTCTGTATTTTCCACATCATGTGTTCTTTTGGGAAAACAAACAAACAAACAAACAAAAAATAAAATTTTAAAAAAACATCCAAAAAACCCACCACAACCTCCTGGGTGCACCAGCAGAAGGGGTGCCACATTATGTTCCAGCTTTCCCCATCATGGAGGGAATGCCTAGGCAATCATGGATATTATGCATATTGTGGTGCTTTTCTGCCCTCAAAAGGAAGCACAAGTGGAGACAGACCATCAGTTCTTGGAAAAATTACCAACATCCAGACACCACAACCTTTTAAGGATACACATAGAAAAGCCTGACATTCCACTGCCTAGCATCAAAACCCATCAGGCCCTTGCTGTTGTGTCCACCAAAAATAAATTAGAAGTTAATGTCTCAAGACTTCAAAAGTTGAAATAAAGTCCTTTCAAGCAGGTATACAAATGAATTTTTATTCTTGGTCTTAAGGTTATACACATCAAATATGAAAACTCCTGTGTCAAATATCTGATGTTTTACAGCATTTGGTTTTACAAGATATCGAAAAACACTTGTTCTAGTTCAGTAAAGTACTTTATCACACTTCAGTATAAGCTTACAAAACCTTATGCTAAATTATGATGTTTTTCTAAGCATTCCTCTAAAGTGCAGGGAAAAAAAGAAAAAAAAACCCATCACATTTCTGTCCTGTTGCAGACTCTTTGGTGTTGTTGGTAGGACTGCTGACAAGCATAATATTAACAACTGTTTACATAATCTGAGAGCCATTACTTTCCTCTAATAAGGCCTCAAAACTTCACTCAAGAGAAAAGATCTTGTTTTCACTCTGTAGTATTAACATTGGAAGAATTATTGCAGAAGTCATATAAAGTCAGTACCTGAAAACTTCTGAGATTCTAGTTTTATAAAACAACATCATTAGCCTGCCCTTTTGGGATGTAGCTATCTGGTTATTATAATGCTAAGGCTATATTTAATCCAATTTAAGGTCACTGCTAGTTTTTACTTCATCTACAAAGATACGCAGTATCCTCTCCTATTTCACAAGATTATGGCAGAATTAGGTTATTTTCAAAAGCAACAGCGATTGTAAATATGAAGTGTTAAAAAACACCCTGACACCAAAAACACTGAAAAATGGACAAATCCCCCTTTAAATCTGAAGCTGTGGACCTTTCCTTATCCAAAGGATTTTGCCTGACTGACATAGTAAGTTATACAGAATTGCTGTTCCTACATCCATTCATATGGCCTTAACCTTTCAAAGTAAGCCAACAATGACATAAGGAAATTATCAGAACATGTCTTGCCATTAAATTCTGTTTTCATTAAAGATAATGAGAGCTTTGCCATATACTACAGTGGGAGTAGAACTTCTACATTTTTTCTTAGTTCTACTATAAGCTTACTCAATAAACACAGAAAGTTTATAAAAAAATAATATTAAAAAGCCCTATGTCTGATATAAAGCATGGAACTATGGAAGGAGATTTAATTAAAGCTTCAATGAAGTACTTCTTTCCTATGACCTTGTTACCTTTACAAAGATGGCTTCTAGATCTAGTAAAGAAATAAAAAAGGTACTAATATTTTCCTTCTCTTTGCAAAGTTATCCAAGTCTTATTTGCCTGTTTAGCAATTCCTGACAAGTAATATTGTGATATCAATAGCAAATTTAAGACTACTCTTAATTTTCAGGAAAGCAGGATTCCTACTTTACATGATTCTGCACAAATTCAAATGACTTAACGCAGTCTCTCAGTGGGTTGTGAAAGGTGGGTGAAAACTTTCATTTCTTCACATTATCTCTATTTAAAATGTGGGCAGTATTTGACAGTTCATTGGCATATAGAAAGGTTATTTTTGTCTTGTGCAATTTCCTTTGAGCTTCCTGCATGTAGATAGGGAACAAAGAGAAATCACACACACCTCTGCCCTCTTTGTCCCTTCCCCTCTGAAAAAAAAAAAGAAAAAATTACAAGGAAATTACAGAAGTTAAATTAATAATACAATTTTGAATAGAAAAGGCACTTAAGATAGTTTGAAATTCTTATTCTTGGTCACCTTTATGTGTGTGTTGTGACTTGATGACATCCTGATAAATCTCCCACTGCACACCAATACAACAATAACACAAAGAATATATTATTTTTATCACCTGCCCTCCAAGGCAGTCCTTGATCCTGGTCATTAGAACAGGGTATGGTGGATGGGTCTAAGCTGTGAAAGTGCAAGTCTTAAAGTTGTCACAGCAAAAGGCATTGATGTATCAACAGCACAGACATGAAGTAATCCATAGGGCTTGGTCTGACATCAGCATCCTCTGGCACAGCTCCCAGACCATCTGTAACCACCTTTGCATATCACACCCTGCCAGGATACATTCTAGAAAGACCTGAAAGCTAAATATCAGTAACACAGCAACTCTTCTGGTTTTGGGTGTGACTTTTTTTTTTAAACTAGCCTACAGGCATATGTAAGCTATACCCCAGGCTG